CTAACTAGCTGAACAAAAACTTCATTTAGTCAAATTGGGATCTGGTCATAGATCAGAAAAGGTTCGCCACACCACAACCATCTGCACAAAACACCACCATCGCCATCACCATCTGCACCTACACTACCACCCCCCAAACCTTCGGCTAAGCAGTAGATCTGATCAGAAAACCAACCACCAGCAAACAACCCACAGTATACCTCATTTTCCACCACCACCAACGCCCAAAAACCATTGCAAACGACACCACCAACGCCCAAAAACCATCGCAAACGACACCACCAACCACCAGCAAACCACCCACAGCGATGATGACGCGCAGCTGCTGCAACGACGTTAAAAAGAACGTCGACGCTCAGATCGCACCGGCGACAACATTCACTTCGTGGCTGCAGACGACTCTCGCGGTTGCCGGTGGGTAGTGGAGCTCATCGACGACTGGATCGACTTTGCTGCAGATCCACCACCACCTGTAGCACCAACCACCGCCACCATTCACAACATTGCCATCTCCGAACAGTACCAACGCCGACGGCTGGGGTGATGGGGCTGGGAGACAACAGCGAACGAAGCGGCAGAGCTGTGCAATGGAACGACGACGGGCGATTCGCTGGTGATTCTCAAGACGGCGACGGGCAGTAGAAATGTAGAGAGAGACAGAGACGACGGGTTGGAATGGTTCTGGAGAGAGAGTGGTGGGTTGGGAGAAATTATATATTGTAATTAAATTTTTATTAATTATAATTATTAAAACTTAATTACCACCTGATTTGTGAAAAAAAAATTAATCCACCTGTTTCTTGAAAATGAACCTTTAAAAGTAGGTTTCTAGGTAATTTTCTCAATTAACTAACCCACAAAAAACCGGGAAAAAATAAAATAAAAATAATAATCAAAGCAATTGGACTGGACTGGGTTATGGCCACGTTTCAAGTTTAAGTTATATTTTTAATTAAGTTCAAATAAAAAATTTACTTTCAACCGTCACTGATTTGAAATATTAGTTCTCAGCTACAAAGAAAAAATGATTTATTTTCAATTTTGTAACTGGTTTTTAGTTATGACTTATAAGATAAAAATAAGTTATATAATGAACAAAAGTTCTTCCTCACCACTTTCAGTTTTATAGGTTAGAATTCTAATCATTTTAAATGTTATATAACCAATTTTATTGTGGGTAATTTATAAAGTACTTGCAAATCTGTTGTAAACTTTATTGTATATTTTAAGCTAGTTATTGACTTATAATTGTTATTTGTAATTTATTGCAAGAAATTCTATTTTCAATTTTTTGTTAATTTAAAATAATATTTAATGAAATCTTACTATTTATTAGGGATGAACACGGTTCGGCTTGGACGGTTTGTGCCAAATTTTCAACTTAAACCATTTCATGCGGTTTGAAATTTTTTCTAGTCAAACCAAACAATTTTATTTTTCGAACCAAATCAAACCAAACCATAATTTGCGGGTTGGTTCGGTTTTAATCTGCAGTTTTCGTATTGACATTATAATAATATATTTAAAATAAGTTAACATATAAGTTTAAACGAGAACTAATAATGTTAAGTGTTAAATTATATTCATCTTTCCCACGAAACCCATAAATAAATTATTTTCAAAATTGGTAGCTAAAAGATATTAATAGAACAAATATATTTTTCTTCCTTTTTATTTACCTTTTCTTGTTTGCTTTCATTCATATTGTCATATAGCGGTTGGTAAAGATAGAATCACATTCTGCTGTAATAGTTTGGTTAAAATTCTTTTCATCCTACCAGTGAGATGAAAAATAAGGACTGAATATGATATGTTTAAATATACAAAGAATGATAAAACTCAGCTTTATTGTAAATTGACAAATTTTATTCTATAACGATTTTATGAAAGTAGAATGTAGTAGTACTAGTTAGGGAACTTTAACATTTTCAGATAATCAATACGCTCTATCTTCCGTTCTTTCTAAACCAAAAACAAGTTCATTAATCGCATAGGCACACAAACAATCTTTTTTTTTCATCCAAATCACAACTTACAAGTATATAATAAGTTCAAAAACAACAAATAAAAGAAAGAACAAAGAAAAAATGACTTGAATGAGAATTGAAGACTTATCAAGAAAGAAGAGAGAGAGATGTGATTCAAGTAGAAATTAGCAGTTTAACAAACAAAATGCGACTAGCGATTTGCGATTGGGAATCACATGACAAACATCAAATAGTTGAGAAATGAGTAGATTAGAGCTTCTGAAGTTGTGGGCATGATTTGCTGTCGTAGTTTTGTTGAATTATGATTTGGATTGTTGAAAATAAATGTTTTTTTTTCTATATGATTTGAGATTAATTTTTGTTTATATTAGATAACGGGTAAGGACATGTGTTGTGGACTTATAAAATCATCAGCCAACGATGATGAATTTAATTTACTTTATATGATTATTTCAATGGGTTAGTTGTAATTTGTATTGTTAAATTGATATTTTTTTCTAAAAAGTGAAAATTTTAAAACTTGTAAGTTAATAAAATGAATTTTTTAAGTTGAATTGCTAAATTGGTATTTTTTTCAAAAAAGTGAAAATTTTAAAACTTGTAAGTTAATAAAACTAATTTTTTAATTAAAAAACGGTCCGACTCTGTTTTATGCGATTTTTGAAAATTGAAACCTAAACCAAACCATTTTGAAACGGATTGGTTTGGTTTGAGGGAAAATAAATCGCGTGTCCTTGTGGACGCGAACCAACGGTTTCTGTTCGGTTTGCGGTGTCGCGATTTTTTTGTGCATTCCTACTATTTACGATCCAATGCATAAAATCCCTCGACAAATCCAATCCAAAATACAATTCTATCAATCGCAATCACGAGTCTTACTATCTTGAAAGGGACTTTTTCAAATATACGAAAAATATTTCACGAAATTAATAATTGTCTCCCTGTGATTGATTGGCTATTGCCAAGAACAGTAGCCAATTACAAAGAGACAACTGTATAAATTCTATGAAGAATTTTTTGTAAGAGTTCGTTTGATTATAAGAATGAAATTTGGGTGGAAAGAAAATGATTTTCAGGGAATTAAATTGTCTAGAATTCATTTTACTGATAATTGTCAATTAATTGTGTTTGATTTGTAAAATTTTCCACTTGAAAAATGTTGAAATTTTAGATCTTTTGGTGTTCGTTTGGCTTTGTTTTCCATGAAAATTGTCAATTAAAAGGAAATTTTTTTTACAATTGAGAATATAATTTGTTTCCATTACAAAAAAAAAAGGAAAATCATTTTCCCACCAAAATCATGGGAAAAAGAATTCCTCGAAAACCAAGAATTGGGAATGTGTGGGGACATAAGGTGGAAATTGAATTGCCAAGAACATTTGGTAAATCAAACATGGAATTTGAATGGAAATGAAATTTCTTTTTCATTTTACATGGAACTTTTCCTATGGCTAAGTGAATAGAACTCGATTGAAAGTGCTAAGAATCCTCCATTCAAAATGCGTAAAGAGACAGGTTGGAATCACGACCATATATTTAATCACGACCATATATTTTTTCCAAAAGGAAAATTTGCCTTATTGGACCCCCAAATTAGTATACGAAAAGTAACAAGATACTCTACTTTTGATAGGAACAATTAAATTTCAACATTTTTGTTGTAGTCGCTCAACTTATTCTCAACGACAAATATTTAAATTTCCACTAATTTTCAAATGACATTCACAAGTCTAATTTTACGAAGATAAATTTTATTTTTCAACTTGAGCTAGTACATAGAAATTTAGAGTGAAACGTGTTTTTTGTGAGAGTCGTGATTATTTGATTAAAATTTGAACGTTTTTAATTCTCTATAACTAAGTATGCAATTATACTAAAAATTAAGTACCTATTTCTAATTTTCGAAAGTTACAAAATCCTTATTACTAGAACAATATATTAATTTGTTTAACAAAAAATTGATTTCTTATTCGAAATAAGAGTAAAATACTAAAATGGCGTTACTGAAGTAAAAGCTTGAGGACTGTGACAGACAAAGAATAGATTGGGGACCTATTTAGTATATTTTTAATAGTGTAGGGGCTGTGGTATATTTTTCTCTTCAAATTTCAACGTTTTTGACTTGGTATCAAGTGAATCTATAATGTATTCAATATATTCAAGTCTGTTGATTCCACGTTTCCACGCCATTAAATACGGTATCTCTCTCTAGATTTACAGGTTTTGTAGCAGAAGAATGGGGTCGTATTCGCTTCAAACAATTGAGCTTTTGAAGAATGAGATTCCAGTGGAGCAGGACTCTCTTCTTCTCTCCGGTGATGTAAAAACCGGTTTAGTTCTTGTTGACATCGTTAATGGATTCTGCACCGTTGGTTCCGGAAATCTGGTAACCTCTTTTTTCGTTAATCCTTTTTTTTTTTTTTGTGGGTCTTGAATCTTATGTATAGCTATATACATATTAATACATGCACGTGTAATGTATATATTTCATGAATCATCAATTTATCTTTTAAGTTAGCTTGAGACCAAGTTTTTGTCCTTTTGTTTTGGGGTTTCTGATATATTTAATGGTGGGATTGTTCTTTGGTTGATTATAAAATGAAGGCAAAGTTGAGATTTCTGGGTTTTCAATATTTACTTGTTTTTATCCTCAAATTTCTCCATATTTAGTGTCATATTAATAATAATTTTTCCTGGTTATGTGCCATTTCTTTATTTTATATACTTCCGATTGAAGGGAAAATGGAAATTGATTACTCTTCGACAGGATACAACCAAAAAAAGAATATTCGCATCCATTGATAGGAAATGAAAGTAGACACAGTCACACAGTGTGCATACGCGTGTTTCACAGTAAAATCTAGCCAGCATCGTATAGGAGAAAATTGAGTGTGCAAATCATACGAACTTTACAGCTAAGTTCAAGCGAGAAGCCCCGTTTAACTCTTACATTTATTATACGGGCTGATATGCTGTTGTTTGAAGCGACTACAAGTTGTCTATATCTAATTTTTCATTCAGCGAGAAGCCCCGTTTAACTCCTCGGACTTGGATCACTAAATCACCACCATAGATATAGACGACTTGTTGTCGCTTAAACATTAATCCATAACTGGGAGATAAATGAAAATGAAATCATTGACGAAAAAGAACACATTGATTTATACGGGTTCCTCAATGTGAGAGCTAAATCGATCAACTGATGCTAATTTTTCTGAAGAAGTTTTCAGGGGGAGATCTAATACCTTTCTGTTTTATCTTGCACACATGAGAAACGACCCTCCCTCAGATTTCTTTACATGATGTAGAACTAGGTTGATATGCTGTTGATCAGATAAGTGAACGGTATGATTAGGTTAGCATACCGAATACTCGAAAGGCACTCCAAGTGCTTTGTCAACATCTCAATATGCTCAATGAGTCATATTTTGACAATGATATCTAACTTAGTATCGTCATATTTTCTACAGGCTCCGCAAGCACCAGATAAACAAATTTCAGGAATGGTTGATGAGTCAGTGAAGCTCGCCAAAATGTTTTGTGAGAAGAAATGGCCTATATATGCTTTACTTGATTCTCATCATCCAGATATTCCCGAGCCTCCATATCCTCCTCACTGTATAGCTGGAACTGATGAGTCAAAATTGGTTCCTGGTAGTTATAACTTTATAGCATGTTTGATATGGTATACCAGACAGTAATGGACAGTACTAGGAGAACAAAAGGAAGCTAAAATTTGTCCATGTCTTGTCTAGTCTTGTCCATTACTGTGTACCAAATATGTCTTTAGCGCTTTTCCCACAACGGAAATAAATTTACATGTTTTTGCTGTTCTCTCATGTTGCTTAGTTGATATGATTTTGTAGATTTACAGTTTTTGGAAAATGAACCTAATGCAACGCTAAGGTGCAAAGGATGCATTGATGGGTTTCTTGGTTCATTTGAGAAAGATGGATCCAATGTCTTTGTGGATTGGGTGAAAACCAACGAGATCAAAGCCGTAAGTATTTCCATATCCAACAACACAAATATATAATTGGGTTTTTCCCGTCGTTATAAATTGAAAGAAATTTTGCTACATATCGAGTAGAAATGCAAGAAATTTTGTTACATATTCAATAGAACAATTCTTAGTGATGTAGATGCCTTTCTGACCAACACTTTCTATTTTAAAGATACTGGTTGTAGGGATATGCACAGACATTTGTGTGCTTGATTTTGTTTGCTCAGCACTTTCTGCAAGAAATCGTGGACTTCTCACTCCATTGAAGGATGTGATTGTGTACTCTCATGGTTGCGCTACTTTTGATTTTCCAATTCATGTTTCCAGAAATATCAAAGGTGCTCTAGCTCATCCACAGGTAAGATATCCCATACATGAAGTCATGAGTGCTAATTTAGGTTTTGCTAGTGTGTTCTCATTGGAGATTTGATCGAAAATCTTTATGAAATCGCAGTACATGATGAAATCTTTGACATATATTTCATTTCAGCTTCTTTGGGCTTATTTTCTCTCATTCTCAGCACACACAATAGAACTTCAGTCTATCAAGCTTTCACGTGATACTCTGAATGGAATTACTGCTAAAATTGGCATAGGATATCCACCCCTTACCAACACTGCCCTTTTCTTATTCCCTATACGAGCCTTTGTACAGTGACGTGTTTTAAGGCTTATGGGATGGGATTTTGAATTGTTCTTTTAACCAATATCTCCTAGAGAAGTCATTTGGCCCAAAGGACTGACCAAAGAACGAGCTTGAGAGCCTTAAGCAAGTTAGCAAAGATACTTGTCCATTCCATTATGATTCAATATGTAATACAGTGTAAGTCCAATTTCACAATAATGTGGTTGTCTGCAAACCATTTTACGTATTGAATGAATTTATTTTGATTATGGTTGTCCAAACTATTCCGATGCTTCTTTGGCATTCTTTCAATTATTTCCCAAGTGGGGTACCTTATTCTTCTTACTTTTTCCTCTTTTCTTTGGTGTAGGAACTTATGCATCATATAGGACTCTATATGGCTAAAGGAAGAGGAGCCAAGGTGGTTTCTGAAGTCTCGTTTGGTACCGAGTAGGAATATAACTTCATCTCTGCTATGAGAATGTAGATATCCTTATTGTATAGAAACGTGTGTTGTTTTGATGATTATATTGGGTCTCTCGAAATTAGCATATGACGATGCTTGTATCTAATTATACTTAACGCGTGTAAAACCTGGATTTGCAGCATTATGTAGTATGTTCTCAATGCAAATTTGCTGTTTACTTTTTATTAAGATTTAGTAGCAACCGAGTTTTCTCAACTGGAATTTAAACATGATCTGTATATGTTACATTTAAGTAACTTTAACTTACTTTTTCTAAACTTTTTGAGAGCCTACTTTATGTAGAACAACTTAACCATCTTAATTTTTGTTTGAAAATTAATTTCTAAAAGAGCTTCATATTCTAGGAGTGTTTTTAGAGGAAGATTTATTAGACCTTCTCTAAAATATCGTCTAACTAGAAGAGTCACTTTTATAAAAAATTTTAAACGAGTTCAAAAGCGGCTTTTGGTTTTAAAAGTTCTTTCTAGCTTTTCAAAAGCCATATCAAATGGCCCCGAGTACCAAATGTTACTTTTTCTTAGGGTAATTTGTAATTGTAACTTTGACCAATATGTCGGGATAAAAGAATTGGCAGATTGTTTGATCATTAACAGCTACATATTGACGTTATTTCTCCGCAGTAAGAACATGGGGGCACACAAATAAAGTTACTGAAGTTGTAAATCTTGAAATTCCTCATATACAGGGACACAACAGATAATTTCATTGATAGGATAGTATTTACGAAATAACAGAAGCACGGTAGGACTAACTAATCAGGCATGGCATGGACTTCTGCCTCTATCTCATTTCTCTCGCGCCCTGCCAACATTTGCATTTGCTCAGGACTCTCCGACCGCTCCTAGAATTCAAGTAGCTACTGGGAACCTCACGAGGAGGTCCGACCAGCTACTTGGGACCTCCCGAGGAACTTACATGACCCCAAGTTAAGAAGGGCGAAGAGGGTCGTGAAGGCTTTTCTTAATAAGGCTAATATTGAGTCATTGACTTTTTAGTGCAACAGAGGTCTTTCAAATGGAAATTTTAAGGATTGGGCTGGTTTGTTAAGGATTATTGTTTCGATAATCAAGGTCAAGTATTGGTACCCCACCAACTCACCCATCTTATAAGAAAAACGAATACTTGGGGCTTTACTTGCACTTCGATCATGGAAAAATGGTGGTTAAGTAGCAGAGAGTCTGAAACTGAACTTGGTTTTCAGATGAAGTCACATTTGATTATTCTTTAGCTTTTTGAGCATATTTCCGTATGCTTAAATTAAGAGACTCTATGATCATATAAACAAGTAGATTAAAAAATGAAATTGTAGCTGAAGATCAAGATCAAGAAACTCAAAATTTAACAATATCTGTGAGTTTAGAACCCAAAAACAAGTTCTTTCTCAGAAAGCAAAAAGGAAGATAAATATAAATTATTTTTCATCTTTCCAACTGTATGAACTTCTAACAAACAATGCTAAACAAACAATCTGAAAGAAAAAATAATCAAGAACTAAAGATGTTACAGAGGTTCACCATCTCTGGGTACATGATATCTTCTGTTAAGTAGCATAGAGGAGAATTTAGAATGCTTCTGCTTCTTTTGTTTATTTCCAAAAATAAATGACCTCAAAGGAATTCGAGCCCGACTCTCTAAATGACTTAACTGTGGTTGCGCCTGATCGCCCGGAACTTCAAACTCCTCGTTCAACTTTCTTAGAGTCTTTTCAATTTCCTGTTGAAGTGCATTTACATGATCTAAACCTGCTTGTAATTCTTCGCTAACTTTATTGTTTTCTTGTTTCATGTTCACAACTTCACCTTGGAACTTTGCAGCTTGATGACTGCTAAATTTGATTTCATCTTCTTCGACTCCCTCCTTCAAAGCTATAGTGATTTGTTCCTGAATGTTGCATAATGATTCAAGTCGTCGCTTTAGTTCCTCGTTCAATGACACACTTTGTTCCAACCACATTGTAAGTTCTGTCTGAATCTCTCTTAGGTGCTTGTATATTGGCCGGACCTCGGATTTTATCTCTGTTGAAATACTCCCCGCAAATCTCTTTTTCTCTTTTATTTTTGATATCTCATTGTTTAAATCTTGAACTTCAGCCTGGAATTTCTGTATCAGATGAAATGAAGTGCTGAATCGTAACCAGAAATCCAAATTCTCGTCGAGTATTGCATCAATATCCATCCTGAGCTTTTCCTCCACCACTGAAATGGCTGGAGCTTGATCAATTAAAATAAACTTGATATCGTCTTCTTTTGCACTGATAAGATCTTCATACACTTCCAAAACCTTGGTTTGTGCTTCCGATTTAACGACTCGATCTTCTGAAGTGTTCAAATCCCCGTTTTCATTAAATGTTCCTTGTAGATGGTTCAACTTTTGGAGTAAATGTTGAATCTCTTCGTCTCTCTTTGCAATAGTATCCCTTAGTTCTCGTTCGTGCAATGCCGTTTCCGATTGGCACTCCAAGTCTTTCTTCTCCATGTCACTAAGTTTCCTCTTGACATCCTTATAATTCCTGAGAATCGTCGTATATTCTGTCAGAAGAATCTTCTCTCTATCCTCCATTCCATTCAATAGCTTCTGTTGCCAGTCTAGCTCGTCTTCTTTCCCTGTTTCTTTTTCCGGTTCAGCGTTAAGATCATTCTCCTTTTCGTTTGAACATTCCACAGAAACTTGCTCGAGTGGTTTTGAGTCCAAAAGAATGATGGATTCTTTAGTGGTTTCTTTACCTTCTCCTTGTTGGTTACAAACAGATTCCTCCCGACTCTGATCTGTTGTATCCTCTTCTCTTACATTCTCTGTGTTTTCTGTTTTCATTATATTGAGGTTGTCATCTTTCCCTTCTCCTTGTTTGTTACGAACAGATTCCTCCACACACTGCTCATTTATGTCTTCTTCTCTAACATCCTTTGTGTTTTCTGTTTTCATCGTTTTTAGGTTTTCATCTTGTAATAAATTGGTAACCTCAATCTCTTCATCTAACTTTAAACTGGTCAGTTTCTCAGACAGATGATCAAGACTAGAATGAGCTTCGACAAAGTTCGTTGCCAGATTGCTGTTCTGTTTTTCCACTTTTTTGTTTAGATCTTGAATCATGTGAAATTTGTCATCCATTTCTTTCACCCTTCTGGTCAAATTACACGTTCCATCAATCCCAGTCTCCTTTTCATCTTCCAAATTCTGAATCTGTGCCTGCAGATCATCGACTTCTGTTCTTAACGTGTTTATAAGAACAGTCTGAGATGACACCTCTGTTTCTAAGTTGATCACCTTACTAGCAAGCTCGTCAATCTTCTCTACCAATTCTGTCACTGAAAGAGATTCCATCGATCCCACCATGTCTTGGTTCATTTTCTTGACCATGATGTCAGTTTCTTGTCTCTCTTGTATCGTGTCATCCACATCTTTAGTCGAGCTTTTGGATTCATCTCCGGAGTTTGCAGTCTTATCATTTTCAGTCGGCTTCTCTAAGCCACCTTCATCACGAAGGTACTCGTGCCTGAGGGACTCCATTCTCTGACGGATATCTTCCATCTTCTCGAATTCATCTTTTGCATCTCGGGCCGATCTTTCTTTCTTCTCCTGCAACTGGACCAAGGCTTCTTGGCAGGATTTTAATGCTGCTTTAGCCATCAAAGTCCGAGCCTCATCATCCTCAATAACTGTATCAACACCAAATTCATCCTGCAAAGTACACACTTTTTGCTGCATTTCCCCGATCTGGTTCTCGATCCCCCAGTACTTTTCAAGCCCAATTTCGTAAGAACTCTTTACAAACTCTTTAACAGTTTGCAGTGCTAGAATCTCTTTTTGAAGCTTGTCAATCTCTTCAAGAGCTTCACTCTTGTTCAAACCAGATTTTACAACATTTTTAGGAGTATTTTCAGTTTTCAACGATTTCTTGGCTGGAAATTTTTTGGAAGCTGATGTCATAAGACCTTTCAAATCTTTACTGGGGGCCTTTGGAACTTTCGGAATGATTGCAGTATCGACTGGTGGAACTTGAGAATTCTTCGGAATTTTTAAGGCACCACTACATTCATCTTCTTCATCCATCGCAAATTGCACTTGCTCTGGGAAAACAGTGGCAATTGTATGATTGGCCTTTTGCAAGTCATTCGATAAGTGGTCGTAACGTTCTGCTAAGGCTCGAAAAGCACGATAAGATTCTTCTACAAAATGTAAGAGTTCTGGCCTCTTCTTGTAATACATTTCTGCCCTTTTGGCAAAGGAGTCTCCATCCTCTTCAATAAGCTTAATCACATGCTGCACCTTCTCTTCCATATCTACAAAAATTATTTGTCCGCGGTGAAATTCGAATATAACAACTCATTAACTGAATTCAACTTCATGGAAGAGGGACTTAGACTTTTAAGTTATTCAAATACTATAGCTGAAAGGAAGATAAACATACTATTAATCTTCAGACTCTATGCCTCAGCATACAGTATCAGGTAATGTCCATATTCAAATGTTAGTCATAAACACCTTTGTTCTTTCTCCTCAATGCCTGATCAAATCTTATTTTTTGTCTGATTTAAAATAACATCATATAATTACTCTTGAGAAGTAATTATATATATATTTGCAATTGTTCAATATATCTTTTTAGTTCAATCCCTGGTACTATTTGGAATAAAAAAAAATAGTAGATCTGTTTCGACCAAAATGATTCGATAATGGAAGCGATTTCATGATTTGAACTTTCAAGTTCAATTCTCTTATTCTCGATAAATTTAAAGTCGGTTGCATGGATTTCCTTTCACCGTACGGTATCTCGCCACTTTTACTAGAAGATCGAAATCAAAAACAAGATACACAATGGACAAGAAACAATGAATGCAATGAAGTCAAATGATGTCAAAGGATGCAGAAACAGATGGTCTGACACTATTTCGACAAGAATTGAATCGTAGAATCGAAAACCCATATCAAATTGTCTCGTCATACCTTGAAGACTTTGCTCAAGCCATTTTGATTGCTTTGTCCTGATATGGCTTGCCCACCACCATGAATATGCATTGCTTGCAGCTCTCTGCAACATCTTTCCAAATATAGATCTTTCTTCTTCTTGTGAGCACTTGAAAACAGCTCTCTCTCTCTCTCCCCCCTATATATATATATGTGTGTGTATGTATAGATCAAAGAAGAATAAGAAGAAGAGCTAGAGGAAGTAAAATGTAGAGATCCTTATTGTTTCTTAGGGGAGACACAAGATGCAATGATGAATCATTGGGAAGGACGGCAATTCAATTGTGGGGGCAAAACTTCACTAGAGATCATCCAACTTATATGGTTGTTTAAAACTGGTCACCTAATTTTTAATTCATTTCAATTTAATCACCCAACATACATGTTTTATTTTTGTTTCAAGTTGACCTTTTTGTCTGGCCAATCCCATGTGGTTGATTGAACACATGACTCGATACTTGTTTGACGTTAAAGCAATATAATTTGTCAAGAAGAACGAGCTAGAATCTAAAAATAACATATTTGAGCTCTAAATTCACTCATTTGAGTTTTTCATGCTGTGAAAATGTGAAACGAGCATCAAGTCACGCGACACACCTTATCAATTACATTTGGATGGATATGAAGTGCTTGTTTGGTCATGCTTAAAAATTGTTTTTTTTAAATTATATAAAGTAGGATTCACAAATATTGTGTGGGTTCTTGATACTTATAAGCACACCCAAACACGTGTTTAGTTTTGGTAATGACTGCACTCTTAATGGGCAAACAAAAATGTAAATTGAGTTATCAATATGTAATAAATTGGAGTGAGGGATCAACATAAAACATACCCATAAGTTGGGTGACCTTCAATGAAAATTTCCCCAACTATGTGGTTATGGTTGGGAGGTTATTCCGCATCTTTCACATGGCTTTCTAATTCCAACCAATGAGCAATGAGTATTATGTGAACGTGGCATCCACTGGCTCCGACAGGTTGGCTTTGTCCTAAAGGAAAAAAGTTGCCACCTTGAACCTTTATTAACTAACTTTTAAAACACATTTAAGAATTATATTTATAGCTTTGGACCCTTTTTTCCAACTGATTTTTCAAGATTTACGATGAACTTTATGCAAAGTGTTGATTTACAAGCTAGCTATGGATATTCCAAACTTGATGCTTCTTTTAGGTATAATCTATGTCCTTGATTTAACTTGAAAATGGGGACCAAAAACAGTATACTAATGCAGAATATTCACAAATACAAGATTTTAGAGATTCGATTAAAGATCAGAAGGCGTCGACCGAACTAGAGAGACTATTTCAGGTCTCACTAAACAATGTTTATTTACGGAACACATTTAAGTAAATTTTACATTCCGACTTTCACGTTCTCTGATATTATCACAAATTAAGTAATCTGCAATATAATAATGACATATTTGGTAAAAGACTAAACAACGATGAATAGTATTAAGGAGGAAAAAAAGGGAAGAGATTTTTTTTTTTTTGGAGAGATTTTACAAATATGTTATCTTCTTTTCAATTGTATCTTAATCTTTTCTTGGAGAGAAATTTTGTTTGAATTATAATTCAGATTTCTCTGAACATTATTGCTTAATATTGTAAAGTGAAAGTTTGGTGAGTATTTGAATATTAATTGTTATTCACGGAAGGAAAGCGTACTAAAATGTAAACAACTTTATTTTCCATTAATATTAAAACTGAATCACATTGATTGATTCGGCTACAAAAATGGAAAATCACTCCGATTATGGGGGTAAAAATCAGAATTTGAAAACAATTATAGTTAATCCATTTACCCCAAAATTGACTTGTTCAATAAAAGATCGACTAGTGCACCCTCTAATATTTGAAAATTCTCTGGTTTAGTGTTTTCGTCAAATACGCATGCATAATAGCCTCCCAGTGTTCAACTCGAGGCTGAGCCATAAACTGACTAACCACACAGGTTCTTTGACATCTTTGATGTAGCCAACATTTCCTTCCAGCCTCGAAGCTCCAACTTTATTTGCCATTAATATTAAAACCAAATTGCATTGATTGGTAATGACTCTGATTATGAGGTAAAAGTCAGAATCTGAAAACAATTATAGTTAACCCATTTACCCCAAGTATAAGTTTTAGTCCGTCGGTATGTAATTACTTGTACTCGTTTATAGTCGAGTTGTACAGATGTATCACTATTTTTAGAAATTGTATAAATTAAATTAATTAAGGGTAGTATTGGAAAGTCTAACACACAATAGAGATGTTACATTGAAAGCCATAGTTTCTTCTAAGAGCAATGCTACAGCCGACCCTTCCAATGGGGGAGTGCCACCTCACTTGGGCACTTCCCCTTTTATCATCCAACTTGGGCAATGTAGCATTATACTGTGGCACTCCCCCTTTTGTAAGGCTACTTGGGCAAAGTAGCATTGCACTTCTTCTAATATCAATGGCTCAATTAAATTTCAAGATTCAAATCCATGTCACACATGCGCAGGAAGTTGAGCCTAAAAAGTAGGGGACTAGCCCATTGTTGATTTTGGCTTGATAGATATCAGGGCTTGGACTATAGCTTAGTGGACTAATTGGGCCTTGCTCACAAATGTAATGTCTGGTTTGATTTAATGTTGCCCAACTAAGCATCCATCTCTCATTCTTTCAAAATTCTTTTATCTACATACTAATTTTCAACAAAACATTCACATAATAAAATATTTTTCACGTAAACCTAAAACATTTCCCTATATTTTAATCATGCATTTTTTTTAAAAAAAATCACTATTTAAAAAATATTTTACAAAAGTAAAAAATGACCACCAAATAGGGACTAATATGAAAAATAAAATTCTTTAGGGATGGCAAGTGGGCCAGTTGCTCATAGGCTTATGAGAGCTTAGGCACTGGTGGCTAGCGCACATTTAAAAGAGCTTATTATAGCTTGTTTACAACCTACAAGTGGACTTGGATAAAACACTTATGGTGAATTGATGCTACAATTACGCGACCGATCGGTAGCGAAGGATAGACATTGGCATCGATCCACCAGTAAGATGTCTAAAATTGAATGGTGTGGATGTTGATTACAAAATGGTGGTGATCGATACAGAGTTGGGGAGTGTGGAGAAATCACGACGAAGAGTTGATTGCAAGTATGCACAAATAAATGCTATAAATAAGTTTGGGGTGACTTTCTGTCCCTTTTGAGTATTTCAATATATTTTAAAGATCATTAACAAAAAGTGAATCAACAATCTGGTGATCAACCATTGGATTGATGAAAATATGGTTTATAAAAAAAAAAAAAAAATCTCGTTTTTAATGTTTTGACATGTCTTGTATAGTTGTATATAGAGATATGTTCTAATGATGAGATGATCATGACACCAATCATCTTATATCAAGACACTGAAGATTTACCAAGTCCAACTCCCTCCCCTGGCTTTCTTTGAAACTCGCACCAATCATTCAGTACAGGAATCTTGATTTCTTATAACGCCAAAAAAATCGTCGCATAATGTCCAAACAATTGAAAACAAGAATTTAAGAAATTGGAGAAATCTCAACCATTCAAATTACCTTAATTGTCGTAAGAAAATAATTAAAGTATAATAAGGCTCGACTGCCTTATTTTAGTTGGAGGATCAAACTGCATCAATTTGCCACTCAACAAACAAAAATAAGCAGAAAGGCGAGGAGGAAGCAACAAGAAGGAATAAGATTGATATTATAACCAATTTCTGAAATACAAAGTACCTCAACAATTTACAACTTATAATTATCTCAACTCAAACGCCAAAAAAATGTTCGAGTTGCTCTTTCCTCTCTTTGTTCCCCATTAGGGCGAATACAATAATTTTTTAAAGGGTAGCTAGTCGACTTACTCATGAACTAGCGAACCCGGTTATGAACTATCTACTTTCTTCAGCTGTCCTAGTGTACACAGGAAGTCTTTCCATGGCTTGTTTGGTAGAGATGACTATATCAGTCCAGTCGAGTCCAGTACTGCACCATTTCAGAAAATTCTCATTGGGGTGCTTCTGCATGCAATATGTGCATTCTGTTCCGAGTCCCTTCAAATCCACATTTACCGATGTATACTGGCTCGAGGATGAATCGACATCTCTATATAAATCATTACGAACCATACCAACTAGGTCCAAACATAGAGCCCGAAATGTCATCAGCACTCGAGTCCTTGGTGCTATCTGTACTATATGAACTGGCATCTGACATGCTCAAAATTGAAGAACAATCACTTGATGAGTCCACAAAAGGATTTCTTTCCCTCAAACCCTTGGTATCGAATCTGTGTTTGCCAGTGAAATCATTGGGAGTCATCCAAATCGGGTATCTTTGAGACCGCTCATAATGAATTGTAAAATCGGTGCTCTGAACTGTTGGGAGTTTAGTCTTTGAATTTCTTCTCTTTCCACTGCTACTCGAAGAAACGTTTTCCAAGTTCCTCTTAGTTTTCCCATCATACACACTGCTTTCCCTCGGCAAAGATGGAACTTGTGGATTGTGCCTAAAAAGTTCTATACTTGTTTGAAACAAATACTAAAGAAACCACATCTTAATGGAACTCAATTTACGAGTTAGAATTACCGTGAATAAAGGAGAATATACGCCTGTTCAGATAAAACAGTCTCCAAGTCCACAGGGATTACCTGCACGACGGAACACAACGAATCATCAGGCATTTATAATAAGTACACCTTCTACAGCAAGTCTTGCTACTTCGTTCTTTCTCAACCGACATGGTCAGGAGAACTTCAAAATCTATATTGCAACAAAACAAGATGTTCTAATATCAACAAATTCTGACAACATTAACAGCAGATGAGAGAGGTGCCAGGGAAAGTCCCACATACAGCAGCTATTTGTGGCCAGTTCAGCCGCGTCTACCTTCACATTTAAAAGTTCACTGGGACTAGACACCAGGTTCTCAAATCTTGAGTCCCCCAAGAAGAAGAGAAAGCAAATTACAACAGCGTCCTATACTCCTATTCACAAAGAATGGTAATCTAGCCATGAATATGAATCCCGATGTGAAGGTGGAAGAACCAAGGACACAGTTGTTTTGACTATTGCGATAGCTTTGACAATTAGTTTCTCGTGGTGCAAATCAAGAGAGATCAAACAAATGGTAATCCAGTATCCCCTTGGTGGTAAGGGAATGTGTGCATATATACGTCTGTCATCCTACCAGGGGGTTTTTTAGACAAGGGAAGGCAGTAAATTAACGAGAAAAAAGTGAGGGCAACGGTGAGTACTGGCTGGTGTCAGGACCAGATGGCCGCACTTCATTGTGAATCACTTCTAATTTTCTATTATCTACATTTGGTAATGGGAACAAAAGTTAAGATAAATTATAGCGAATTTCCTGAAACCCATTAAATGAAAAGGCATTACGATTCTGAACAAGCGACAGCGTCCTCCAAGAATGATGACATTGAAACCAGTGGATGTAAAACAACTGAATCACTAATATTGAGAAGCCAAAATTTAATTCTCAGACTGAACAAGTTGAAGTATAGCAGAGTAAAGGCCAATTTCAAATAGGTGCATGAGGACATACCCTGCTGTCATCAACTCTAAACCAATCTCCCTGGAAATCTTTGACATAACTAATATAGTGACCACCGTAAGCAGCATTCATAATATCCAAGTGTACAACCAGTCCATAAAGACTATATACGGGGCATTTGTCGTTTGTTCCGCTCATAAATGGAGCAAGGTTCAGAACCTCAGGAAACTGAACTAGCTTATCCAGCTTCCCTAAGTTGCCAGACTGCAAACACGAATGAAGGGCGAGAAGTAGTCGATATTATTGAATAAAGATTAAAAATAGTTTACGGCATAAAAAATACAATGCTTCCTAATAATAAATTACCCGAAATCGCTTCAAGATAATTGTAAGGATGTTAGGAGCCTCAAGCACTGTCAATTTCTTCTTAGCTTTCTGATATGATTTACATCTGCAAATGACAGAGAACAGGATCCATTAATGTTAAGTAAAAATCATATAAAAAGTACTAGTCAATCCCATGTTTACACGTTGGAATTTTATAGTTCCCAAGGGATTAGGTAAGAACCACAAAAGCACAAACAACAAGTCATAGGATTAATTCCAAGCCCATAAAGTTGTATAAAGATAATGTCTAGCATAACAAACAAAAAAAAGAACAGCGCACTATCAGCGACAGCAATGACTGATGAGGATGCATGAAGAAAAGCATTTTAATGTATGCTTCGCACAATACTAAAACTAAAGACGCAAAAACTGTGCCAAACTCTACTAGGTTTAGACGATTAGGAAAATGAGTACACCTGCTGCACTTGTACTTGTTATCTCCAGTAAGGGTTTCAGACGTCGTGAACTGCACAAGAGCCTCTCCTAAAGTATCAATGTCCCCATCTATTTCCACAGTAAGATCCATCATCCTGTCGCACTGCTCTGATCTTCCTGAACACTTCATGCACTTTATCTGGAATTTACTTTTGAAGACTAATTAGTAAGAACTAATAATGATATCAACAGCTACGTAATCAGATTAACTTGTATGCTAAAACCAAGATGGTCGATCAGTAGAAATCAGCCCATTCCAAAGACACACCTTCGAACGAAGATAACCGCCAAAAGTTAGACCTACAAGGGTTGATTCTTCATCCAACGAGTCTGCAGTCCCAACTTCTTCAAGGCAAATAGATTGCATTGTTTCTACCACGCACCTGTCACCTCAGAAAATCATATTTTTTAAGTTCAAAATTCTACAAAAAGAAAACCCTTAATTCTGGTAACATTCTCCACCTTAAAAATTCATGTGCATCTTCTTCTCTTCCATGACTTAGATTACTTCCAATTTTTTGTAATTGAGACAGTACCCCAATCGGAGATAAAGGAGATTTCATTTTTTGGCCCTTCAGAAGCAGATATTCAAACTCACAGACAAAACACCAATCCTGCTTCTGACCTGAGATCATGGACACACGGGATAAGATGAAAACATGGGACCCAAATGATCAAGACGCTGTAAGGAACTTGTAAGAATTATTAAGAGGCACTTGCATGTTTTAGAGTGAAACCCTTGAAGAAGATAAGAACTAATTGGCCGAGTAAAAGCCAGGCACTGCAGCACTGCATTTGCATAACAGCTGCAGAAAGAGAAAAAAAAGGAAGATGCATTGTAATTAATATGCAATACAAGAAAACAGCCTAGCAATAAAACATACTGGCATAAATCGAATGGGCTTCTTTAATTAATAACACTAAGAATAAAACAGTACCATGTTATATTACCTTTAACTTCTATGCAGATTCAGTAATGTTACTTTTTTCATAGATTAGTATAACTTCTAGAGCATTAAATGAAACTAAATAATATGAAAAATCTTCAAAAACGTATACATTTTCTTATGATTCAACCTTCTCCGGAGTCCAAAATTCTCCGATGCTCAGATTTTTCCTTAAATAATAGGATACAAATTCTAAAAGATTCTGAAAAATGGAGGCCTAAAAAGTCCATATTTATGGACAGCGGATTTCACTAAATACAGAAACAGGACCACTAAAATCCAAAATTTTGCAATAGAAGAACGCCACACACCTGACATGAAATGTCAGGCCATTCATATATGCCATGCTTAAAATAGTTATGAGCATATCAACATGCTTGAATCATACAAAAGACCAGAGTAAATGACCATAAGCCAAAAGTAAGTATACTGCGTATAAAGAACAAAATTGTGAGTACACAACAAATATGCTTCATGAGCTTATAGTAGTTAAAGACAAGACAACTAAAAAGACAAAAAGTTCTTTTCCTTAAATCAACTGACGTTTGAAATCTTCATGAGAAAATTTTTTAAGAAAAATAGAGAGAGAGAGAGGGAGGGAGGGAGGGAGGGAGAGAGAGAGAGAAGGGAGGGAATATAGAAAGAGGTGACATCATCACTCATTTAGCAACGTAGACAGCATCTTCGTTCCTGTAGTGGCGGCGTCAACCACCGTTGCATCGNGGGGGGGGGGGGGGGGGGGGGAGGGGATCCAGTTATCTTGTGGCCTATTTGAAGCACTTAAAAATGATCAAATGCTAAAATTTATAGTACGAAGTCATGCAGCAAACTTTGTTGAAGTCTATTCAGAAACCAGATTTTCTACAGAAGTTAACAGAAAGGACCATAAAATATAAGAGACGTACAAACATATACCCAAGGACCAAATAAAGAAGCAAATCAAATTCAAGAAGGAATACTTTCATTATTACATTCATATTTAGAATGTCAAAATAAATAATTTAAACAATATGAACATGCTAAAATCATATATAAGTTGCATAATTATAGATATAACCATTTTGAGCAGTTGCAAACCCACCATAATAGTAAGAGTGGAGCACATATATTGTCGTATTTTAGGCATTCTTACAATCTAATGAGCTTAAACAACAAAAAAATTACCTGTTTCCAAGGTTCACGAGGCCAAAGGGATGAAGTTCCACACCGGCACAAGAGTACAATTGCATGAACAGCCTGGGAGAAAATACGGCCTGACAAAAGAAAAAAAAACCGCAAAATATTATAAAGATAATAAGACTTTGTAGTACTAAACAAATTAAATAAGACATACAACTAACCTTGTGATTAAATTTTCCAATAGAGTCCTTCCAAATACCCAGCGTATAGGAGTTTGACTGCTTTGGTGCTCTAAACTGCTGTGCCAAGTTCCATACTGACGTCTTCAAACCCTTGCTAGCAGGTTGTGACATTATTGGAATGCTTTCAACTTCAGAAGGCAAAGCATTAGAACTCTCAGTTTCCGTAGACATCGAAAATGGAAGTGAACGTTGTTCTGAAGTTGATATTTGATGATCACCTGAACCCCTGAAAGACACAGATATCCTCTCCTCACTCTTGGATAGCTGTGCCTCATTTTTCCAGTACTCAGCTGAAGAAAATGGTTTCTTCATACTAGATGAACATGAATTCTTCAGCTTAGTTGCAGTTGGGACAAACTCTTCTAACACAGCAGCTCCATCACCAGTTTTTTCATCTATGAAGCATGTAGATGGGGCTTCACTACAATTAATAGATTGCACCTTGTTTATCTTGTTAGAACCAAGCATTTTATTTACAGAACTATCAATAGCATCCAGTGAAGATGATCTTGGTAACTCAATGTTTTCAGAACCAGAGGTAGTTCTACACATATCGGTATTAGTAACTTCAGAAGGTACCTTATCTGATCTTATTGGAGTTTCTGATCCAAGATCCTCATAGATAGAAGCATCAGATGATGTTTCACTATGAGTGGTGAAAGAAGAGATGCAAGGCAATGAGGTCCTTGAGGATCCAGAATCATTAAGTGATTGTGGGGAATCTGAACAGCCATTAACTTCATTTACTTGCATTTTAAACTGATTTTTTGAAGCAGTTGGCATACTCCAATCACTTCCCTCGCTAGCGTCCAACTTAGTTGCCTGCCTGCATTCAACCATGTGACCTTTTCTCCAGTGAATTATCTGGCACGTACTGGAACTACACAGCAACAAAGTCGAAATGTTAATATGAAAAAAATCAATAAGCTTCGAAGTGCACTTCAAATCTGTCCAAGACAAGTCTGCTTTCTAAAAGAAAGTTGCAAGCATATAATATGTCTTACAAGAACAAGAACCCAAAACAGCCTAATATAAAATATATGAATCCAGTCATGGAAATAAATTCTATAGCCATGTAAGTGTTTCACAACTAAAATTAACCCATATGATCCAAGAATCAGTTTTTCACATATCTTGCAATAATTAATAATCTATGATAGAAATCATTTTAAACACTAAAATGACTTTTCCCACAATGTAACGACAACAATTTAATCACATTCTCCTCTCAAGAGATCATTTTTTACATGAAACCAGTACGAGTCTGAACAAAAATTACAATCAAAAGAGATTGCTCTTAACCAATACAATCCACCTTCAAAATAGGATCTTGAAAAGACTTAATAAAATGTGAACCAAGTCTTTACAATTGTAACCACAAAGTGACTTGCACAAGATTAAAGTTTTTCTAAGCTGGGTAACAAAGATATTTCTAAATTTCAAGTCTCTACATCCCGAAATAGAGGACATTCCATCCAAATTCCAAAAACACTCTAGAAGGAAAATTTGATATCACCCATCCCAAATGCTGATAGAGTTTCTTACTAAACAAGTTATAGCACAATACCCTGAACCTAGTGTTAACATACAAAACCCTTTCCAGCTCTCCCCCCCATCCCCAAAATGACACTCCCCGTGAAGCAAGTGGGTATATTTTTTCCCTACCACCGGAAGATTGATACCCTCGCTCATGAGAAAGTGAATGTACATTATCTCCTCGCAACTTCTGGGCTGCTTTTCAGGACATGAGGATAAATGGGTACATAAAAATATGGAACAGAGATTAAAACCACAGAACTGTGTCATCTACAAAGGAAGGTTATAGGAGAGCCAAACCACTAGTAGGTCCTTTGCTAATTTTATCGGAGAATATATTGGTATGCAAGTGCCTATGGCCCAGCATTATTTACACAGCAAATATCACGAGGCACGACAGATGCGCCCCTCCCATCCTTCCAATCTCTGTAGTACGTACACTTCAACTAGAGTAGCGTGTCTGTATCCGACACTTCTCGAACACTACCATGATCATTTTTATTTTCTTATTTGAAATATTATCTATTTTTAAGTAAAATATATTAGTAAATAACAAATATGTACTCATAGTTAAAATATTTCAATAAGAAAAATTAATAACAAGTATAAAACTAAATTTATACTATATAAAGGAAGAATTTTAAAAAATTTAATCAACGTGTCGTGTCAATACTTTTTTGAAAAATCAGCAAAGCATCATAGCTTCCAATGATGCGGAGAATAGCGGTGCCTAAAGATAATGTGCATCACGTGATGATAAATAAAACCAACTTTCAAGGCGAATATAGATTATGGACCGCCAACTGTTTTTCTGAAATAACTAATGGATTCCTCCAGAATTTTCATGCTAGCATGATGCATTTAAAAGAAGAAAATATACATAAATTCTATAACAAGGAAATCAAATTTTTTAAAACGACCAAATACTTCTCAAGGCATGACCCTGGTCTATGGTTTCACATGATAGCTATTCATTTTCCATTTTTCTTTAATCAATTCATACCTCAACGAAAATCATCAAATGTTAAAAGTCCCCACAAGAAACACAACAAAAACTTATTCCGTAGATACCTTTTCAATAGAAAATATCAACTGCTTTCCATTCCCCAAATTTCCAGTTGCCATCCCAACAAACACCCTAAAACTCTTTTAACAGAACTTCGTCCCTGCAATTTAACCTTGAAAAAGGTCCGAAATTTAAACATCTAACGCTATATTTCATACAAACGCTTTATTTTCTTAGGTTTATAGACATGGATAGTGACAAATAAAACCCATGTTTAACGCCTCAACAAAATTCGCAAACAGAATATGTATTCCTTGATATTAGACTTCTTTTCACTTATCCATTATTCACATTTTTATACAACTCTTACCTATATTTCAAGATTACTCTCAAATCTTTTTCATTCAAATACTCTGAACTCGTGTAATATCCATGTTCCTGTATCTCAAAAAATTCCAGTCCGAGTAAAATTTTAAATAGACATTCCCACATTCAAATTGAAAATAAAAGACATCTATGCAACAAAAACCTATAAACCATAATTCTTAAAAAAGCAAACTCACCAGTATCGCACAGCCTTGCACTGAGAGCACCTCGCAGTGGTGGGACAAAGACAAACGGCACAATGATACCGCTTTTCGAGCCGCAAGGGAGGTGGCAAAGGTGATGACTTGTACTCCTCAACAGCTATAATCTTTGCAATTTCAGCCTCTTCTTCGGAGGCCATAGTCACCAGCCTCAAAATATCCTCCCTTTTAGCCGTCGCATTCTTCCACTTCTGGCAGACTACCAGACAAAAAATCAGCAAAATCCCAACAATTATAAGCATTTGTTTAACCTATTCAAATTCACTTAACCGGCACCTAGGATCAGAACCGAGCTGAATAAAAACCCTAATAACCAGATTTTCTTTCTATGCATAGAACTGGGTTTTCTACTAATTTCGCATGTAGTGGAGGCGATGGCGGTGATACCGGTGGCGGAGGAGGAGGAGGAACAGTAAAATGAGAATTGGAAATTTGAATTTGCCGTCTTGATGGAATTATGTGAGAATCTTCCAGCTTTGGGATTGTGAAAGACATGAGAGAAATGTCCGAGATTGTGATGTGGGGTAAAGTCACCTAAAAAGATAGCGAAGTTAAGGGGCTGTTTGGTTCGGGGGTAATTTTGATAATTACTTTTCTTTTTCTTTTTCCCATTATCTTTGTTATTCTCTTCTTATTACATAATAAACTAATTTATTAGTATATATTGATTTTTTCCATAGAAAATATTTGTTTTTAAAATCCATTATAACAACAACAGTCATTTATTTATCTTCATAATTTAATATATCTATATAATTACATTTAAATGGGAGTAAAAATAATTGAAAATAGTTTATAATATTTATAACATGAAACTTCAATTTATTTTATACGGTTTCAAAAAAAATCATTTTATGTGAAATCTCATTTTAAATTGACTCAAACAATCAATGGAGAGTGGAGGATTGAAAAGTCGATAATTCTTGAATTCAATTGAAACAAGGGAAATTGGTAAAATCAATCCTTACATGTCACGAGTTCAAAGATGAATACTTCGAACTTTAAATAAGTATTTATCACGTTGAATCATAAATTACGTCACCTGACTCCATTCAAATTAAGAACCAATTCTGACTTTTATAGCTAGAGTAAAAAGTAATAAATATGATGTCATATTTAAATTGTTCCAATTTTTTTTTTTTTTTGAAAAAGGGCAAATGAATCCCAAATAAATTATTAAAGGGGTAATTA